ACACACACACACACACACACACACACACACACACACACACACACACAGACAGGTGGATGATCACTCTTTGAGTTCTGTTGAGAACGTACCTTCACAGAAACTGAGTTTCTCCTTGTAATAGTGATGCTCCAGGGGATTTGCTGCAGAAAATAACAACATAAAAAAGGGGGGTTAGATTTGGAATAAATATGAAAACAACACGTGAAATGATGGTGTCTTAAAAACTAAGCTGGAGCTCAAACATCTCCCCTTTAGCTCCGCGGGACCTTGTTGGTAAAGTGTAACCCGTAAACCGGGCCTCGTGGCCCCCGGTCACTGGCGAGGAAGTCAGCGGCCCGTCTGGTGGCCGGCCTCTCTGGCTGCCAGGAACACCTTCCAGGATTAGTAGTATTAATCAGATAAGGGGGGGGGGGGGGGGGCAGGCAGGCCCAGACATGGGCACCTGCTCTGGGGGATGAGGGGGACCCTTGGAGCTGCTCCAATGAGCCTGGGTCTACCTCTAGTGGGGAGACGAGGAACTGACATTTCAGTTAATGAAACTGGACTTCACAGCTGTTTGTTTTCCAATGATGCTGATATCCATCAACAGATACACACAACTGTTTTAACGTGTTTCTGCTGTTCAACCCACCCTCATTGATGTAAATGAGGTGGACAAAATAATAGAGACAGTATAACGCAATACAATGTGAGAGCACCACAAACTACATCCTCTAAAAGTGACCATGCACGCTGGATAAACACTTCTCTAAAATAGTTTCAACAAGAACGAACGATTTAAACATTCATGAAGGTAAACGGAGTTTAAAAAGCTTCTGGAAACATTTTCTAGATCAGCTTCTTGATGGAATCCTACATTGTTACTTCACACAACAGATTTCTGTGTTGTTTATTTGTCCTGTTACGTACTTCCACGCACCAATTCACCAGTTCAGCAGCATTTGAGTCTGATGACAGTTGATTAGTTTGATCAGTGACACACTAACATTCCACTATTATCCCAAAATGACAATATTCTGAATTTGATACGGTTCATGTAAACATGTTCTGGTTTCGGCTTTGTTCCATTCAGATTAAGACATATGTCGGGATATGTCGATATTATTCTGGTTTAAGAGGATTGTTTTTGTACATGTATACAACACATTCGGAATATACATCTCAATTAAGGTTTTTAGGGCCTTTTGCCTGTTTACAGCTCTGTGGGTTGTACACAAACCAACAGTTTGCAAGCCTGTTGCACAACTATGACAACAAGGTTACAACAACGGCAGCAACACGCCTGCAGCTGGAAAAGGAGAATATAAAGTTATTTAAAGAACGTAGCTGCAGGACGTACGTCGTGGGGGCGTCTTACATTAATCGGAGTATGCAGGGTTGCATATAAACGGGAATATTTGTGCAATATTGAGATTCATTAGCCATGTGAACAACTTAGCATAATAACAAAAGAGTTTGTGGATGTAAACGTAGTCAGTGTCCATTCAATGTGATCGAACTATACTCACACAGTTCTGATTAAGTCTCTGGTTTTGTCTCTGGTAGAAACCTGTCAATCACAGTGTAGCCCCGCCCTAAAGCATCCCCTGCTTTATGGTCTGTTTGACT